GTATAAAATAATTAGACATTTGTATTTTTTTTTCGGACGCATATTATTCACAAATATATTTTACTTTTAAATTCAAATATTCAATAAAGTAAAAAATTGAATAATAACTTTTAAATATCTGTTAGTTTAATATATACAGTAAGTAAGAAACCGATCAGTTGTTACAAACAATGAGAATAGTAGATACCCGTTTCCTTACTTACTGAACATTCAATATATCTGTTGATATTTAATCGACGGAAAATTATTTCAATTAACGATCTCAAAGAATTGAACCCACAGATATTGTGCATGTATATCAAGTTCCAAATATTAAACAATGCTATATATACTCAAAGATAAGAAAAATTTCGTCCATTTAATGTCTTCTTGTATTTTGTTACTTGGTCATTTTTCCTTATCTTTTCACTAAGTTTAAAATATTTTGTATTGTAATTAACAATTTCATCAACAAGAGTCAGAACCAAAGAAGCAATCCACTCGAAAGAGAGACTCCAGCAACAGAATTTTGAATCTCTGGATTCTTAGAATTCATACGATTTCGTTTATGTGCCAAAATTTATCTCTTAAAAAAAAACTTACAAAGTGAACTTATGAGTAAAAGAGATTTCGAATAGATAGGAGTATACACCAAAATATCTTTTTTGAACAAATTTCTAATTTTTAAACTCCAGACATAAAATATTAGATATTGAAATTTTAGAAATAAGATAAAATGTGAAAAACACGTAAAAAATTAAATGGAAAATACAAATAATTTTGAAAATAATTATGTGGTTAATGAAAAAGTAAATGTTATGAAATTTTTGTTGGATGCTAAATTGGCCGATAGAAATGAATTTAAATTTGAAATGTAATTCGGTGAACTACGACTTAAACATAATTTCTATAAATCTTAGACTTGGTAGAATAAGAACGAATTAAAATATCCAAATTTAGCTACGCTTGCTAAAAATATTTGTGCCCGCCATCAACATCAATGACGTTAGAACGTTGTTTTACTACAACTGAAATAGTTGTTACTCCAAAAGGAAGTAATGTGTTACAAAAAAATGATAATATGTTGACTTTTTTTAAAAGAAATTTCCTTGTATTCATCTCGAAACTTGAATCACTTAGACATACATAAAAATAATCTTATTGAGTAAATACTTATATTGCTGATTAGTACATGAATTAAAAGTTGCAATACAGTTTTGATAGTTTATATTTATGTATAATCATTGTATTTATGAAATAAAACATTTTTGTTCGTATGATGACTCAGTGAATATTTATTTATATATTTAATTAAATTGTGTAAATTTTGTGCTAAAATCTTTGGAGCTCATATTTAACGAAATATAGATATAAAATATTCTAGTCAATTAAATTACCAACAATAAATAATCGATTTTTTGTAGAATCTTTATTTGTATTTATTATTTTTTTTATTTGTTTAATTATATTGTATGAAATAAATATTTATTTTCTTAGCAAATAAAGTGAAAAATTATTTTTATTATATTTAGTTATGTCTTAAAGTATTGTGTGTTAATTTAAATGCTGGTAAATTAAAAATTACACTTATTTGCTACTGTTGAATGACTCGATTTTTTTTATTTTTAACAGTGTGATTATTTGTATGGTTACTATTTTTTCTTACACATAATACTATTAGATAGTACGTTCAGTAGTCTTAATTAATAATGGGTTTAATTACGATTTTTGTTTTATCAATTTTTACAATTTTCAATTTAGATAAAAAATTTTAGAGTAATATTTTTATTAAAAAATATATAAATTGTATTTATTATAATTATACTATATAATATAATTTGGTCTATAACTAATAAAGGAAATCAATGAAATTACTATTTATTGTAATGTGAGTAGATTTAAGAATGTTCATGATATTTACAATTAATCAATATTTCTTACGCGTCCTTTAACACATATTCTATATTTCAAATTAGTTCTAGCGATTTGGATTTGGGAAATTATCAAAAAATAAGTACATTGGAATCGAGTTATTTAGGTTACAGTTATCCGAGAAATTTTATATTTTATCTGATCAAATAGGTGCTCGAACAAAACGTGTAACCGAAACAAAACGGGTACCGAATCTTATATAGCCGAGAAATACCCCAAAGACCGAGTAACGATAACATCGTGTACTCGAGTATTAAAAGCTTTACTTTATAGCAATATTATCATGAGCACTTTTCATAGCTTTCCAAGTGTGATTAATTGTTGAGTCTCAATTATATATCATATAATTTTAAATGTAATTACTAAACAACAGATTTGTCATCCATCAATAGAAATTATAACACTATAAATTATTATTTGAGAAATAATATTACAATTTGATTATATAACTGTTTGCAAAAGATCATTAATTATTCTGGATTTCATTTGCATATTATATTCATTCAAATCATAATAATTTTGATTTTATTAACCCAATAATAAAAAATTTTAATATTTTTACATGAAATTAATTTTTCAACTTTATTCGAGAAAAATGTAATAAATATTTAGTATATATTATTAATATTTGAGTCATAGTATAAAAAAAATTTATTTATAAAATATAAATAGACAATTGGTTGTAAATCTAATTGAAATATTGAAACATTTGTTGCAAATAACCAAGTTTCTAATTATCTTTACTAAAAAGGTAGAGCAATTGATTTTATCATTTCAAAAAATGTTTCGGTATTAAAAATATGCAGATTAGAGAAAATATATTATTTTTTGAAAAAATAATGGTGTTTGTACCGGATAAATGGCAAAAATTAGTTACAAAGAAAAAATGATTCTATTATATTTCTTAATCATTCGTTAAATACATCAGAGAAATCCTCTGCAATACTAAATCAATTAAAAATTTTTTTTAGTTTATCTGACATAGTGAACTTTATCTGTTTCAATTTAAAAAACCTACTTATTTTTGAAATTATTGCATCATAGCCTTACCCGATTTTTAAAATTCCAGTAAGTTTGGTCATCAAAATAATAAATTTTGGCGTATGATCGATATAAACAAAAAAAACCGTCTTCCACTGAAATTAGCGCATACCTAAATAACGCCACGGAATTCACCTGGTGGGGTGATTTCGTTGAAAATCGTCAAATAAATTTTTACTCGTGTTAAGTTCAAAAGTCGTGCGCTGAACTTGTGACCGTTGTGCGAACGACGGCTAACGACTGACATACTATACGGAGGCGACGTGGCTGTGTGTTTTCCCCTTTGGTTGTACGCAGGACCGCATTGCGTCGTCCTATACCTGCACAAGCACAACTCTTCCCGCTTTGATTGATTCGGGAGGTCAACCCACAGAAAAAAAAGAAGTCCTTTTTTCCTTTTGGCGATCTCTTCAACCTACCAACTTCGCGGCATGTTTCAACCGTAGCTAGTTATGATTTCAGTATCCATATTGCATCACTGTGACGGTGTCAAATAATTGTTTTATATCATCGAATAGGTAGCAACGGCCTCTACCATGACAATTGGATTCATTAAAGTAAACATCGACCAAAAATAGTTCTCCTATTGTATAACAATTATACGTGCACACTACCCATGGCATTGTGCGAATTTCTGCAAACTCCTATTATTATTATTTTAAACGGAATGATGAATTTTCCACGCTTTTCCGAATAATATTAAATAATTAATTACCATGTTTAACCATGAAATCTGATGCAGTTGAAAATGTGTTGATTGCAGAATACGAGGACCCTTTTGATCGTTATTATTGTAATTCTTGTGAAAAAAGATTTTCAGTTGAATCCACATATGTTAGAATACTTGTTTTTTTCGTACAACGATTTTTTTTTTTATTTAAATAAATATTATGATTTGAAGATAAATACAATAATAATAAATAAAAACTATTTTATGTTACCGAAAAAAAAAGACTTCGTTAAAAAAAACTACGGCATAACTATAGGGTTGACATGCTAAAAAAATTATTTTGGCATATGAAACATTTTTTTAATGACCATCGAGAACTGTTATACTTGAAACAATCAATTGCCATTGAGGGTAATTTAGGGTATAGATTTATGGGTAGCCCTGTTTTTTTCTCTGTTTAACATTAACTCAATATATTTCTACCTGCAACTTTATATTTTAAACTAATAACTGTTTAATTATTAATTTATGTATAACGAATTTATAAAATTCCGGTATTTCGCCTCTCAACTCTTTCTTTATTAAAGATAAGCATTTTTTACTATATTCTCATTACTCTTAGCTAATCCACATTTTCAAACCAAAACATTTAAAATCTTTAAAAATCACAATTATTATTATTTTGCCTATTTTCAATAATAATAATAAAAATTCTACGAGGGTTATCGATAATCTCAGTAACAAACACAAGACAAAATAGAACTAAGCTTAAAACTCTTAAATATTCAAATATTTTAAAAGTATTTTAAGTATACTGGAATTTTGTAACGTTAACTTAAAAGTTATTCTCATAAATATTAAATGTTGATAAAACATCAATTAAAATAACTTTTAAGCTATGTAACATGATAGTAATTATAAATCTAGTTACTTGGCCGCGTTATAACATTTAACTACATTGATAAAAACTGATTCACAGACAGTCCAAATATATTTCCATTAATAAATTTTGTAAAAGGTATTTACTTTCGATTTAACGGCGGCGTGTTAAAGAAATAGCAGTTATGTCCAAAAATTATACTTCTTGACGTCCGAAATATTTAAATAATAGTTGTTAGTTTTCAAAATATGACCGTTAGAATTTTATTTCTTCGTTCAGGACATGCAATGCGTGATAATACGCTATTGCGTGTTGATTGTTGTCTTTAGTTGTTCTAAATTAGTAGAACGGCAATATCGTTTGCATTATTCTGTTCAGCACTCAGATAGAACTGTAATTATTCATTAATCATCTAGTTTAGACTAACACACGTTGTATACTTGCCAAGGAAATAAAGAAATTGTATTTTATTTTTAGATAGTGTAATCTTTATTGTAAAATAACACAAATAATGGGTGAGTGTAAACCTTAAATGACTTGTGTATTACAAATATTTGTTCAATGTACAATTAACAAACAATACTTCTTAAAAAAATATACTAATAAATATTATTAAATAAAAAAAAAGAAATAGAAAACTCGCTTATTTTATAATAACGAGGTCATAACACGGTACAAAAACTTTTAACAATAACTTAACTCTATCAAAGTCAATGGCACATTTTGTTCCAATAAATAATTATTTATAATCACATTATTTAATACACTGTTTTAATAATTAATAGTTATCATTCTGGTATTAGTTTTAAAAACCAATTAATTATTTACTTTGTACAATTTTAAACTTCAAGTTATTTTGTCTTATATACAACAATATTTTAGAAAAAAATGGCTCTTCTTTGGTACTTTAATGGCAGCTCGGACAGCTTCTAGGAATATGTTTTGTAATCCTTCATTAGCTAACGCTGAACACTCGAGATACTTGACTGCACCAATTTTTCTTTTCATCTTTTTACCTTCGTCACTAGTGACACAACCATCTTGGTTTTGTCTTACATCAGTTTTTGTACCTAAAAAAAGGTAAGTTTTTTTATATTACACACATAAATTTTTAACACAAAAGTCTTTGAATAAAATGTTTTTAAATGTTTAACTAAACTGGGAATCATACCGATTAATATCACTGGCACTTTAGGACAGTGATGTTGAATTTCAGGATACCATTTGCTGGCAATATTTTCAAATGAACTCCGGCTACTGACCGAAAAGCATAATAAAAAACAGTCAGTCTGTAAAAAAAGACCACTCTATTATGCTTCAAAAATAGTCATGATTATTTCTTAAGTATATTTCAAACCATATACTTTTTATATCGACGCATTGATATAAAATAATACACTTGAGTTGTTCAATATAAAATAAATATTTGTTTTTCACTCATATTACTCGTTGAAATTAAAATGAATAAAAGGCGATATAAACACATCATCATTAAGCAAATATTTTATTTTTTCAAACTACTGTCAATATACTCACATTTGTATATGATAGAGGTCTCAGTCTTTCATAATCTTCTTGGCCTGCTGTATCCCACAAACACATATTGTACTCTTGTCCATCAATAACGAGATTGTCAGCGAAATTATCAAATCTAAAAACAAATTAACATAAATATCATTTTAACGCAACCTAAATAATCAGCGGAGGTGCTAGATTATTGTAAAACCCCTTCTTAGAACGTATCTATCGTATCAAAAACAATGATTTAGTCAAAGAGGTCAATAAAATTGAAAAATTAAATTTTTTTTGTCAGAACTAAAATTATTTTTTCTCAGCTGCCTCCATTACAAAATTTAAATCGGCTCCTATACATCAATATGTTCAAAACGTTAAATGTATTGATCTATATGAACTAATCAAACGTTTTTTGATAAATAATTATGTATAAAGTTACAACAAAGGGTGGTTATAAAAAATAATAACTATTATATAAAAACACCTCATATTAAGCCAAATAATTTTTTATTTCATGGAATATACTAATATGTTTCCAGGCCCACATGTTATCGAATAACATACATTTACAATTAAAATACATTTCTTTAATTTAGATCATATACCACAACGTGGGTAGCAGGAAGCATTTTTTTAAACAAAGTTTAGATTTTGTATTTTGATAAGTGTTAATATTAATCAAACTACACAACGCAAAACCAATAATATTAGTAGAGCTATCACTCGCTTTTCAATATATATGAAGTAGATAATAATATTGTTTTAAAAGTATGAGGCAATATAGCTTTTGACGGATATGACATAATGTAACTATAGGCTTGTCATACACGATACAAATGATATGACGTTATTTTTAATTACAAACGACACAACACAATGCGTCATTAGTACGAATTCATTAGCATTGTTTAAGAAAAAATCACTATAAATTTAGTTCATATAATGGAGAATCATATTATTATTCACACACCTCACTAAAGAATTAGATTTCTTGACTATTTTATTGCATTAAAACCGTTAAACATGATTCTGTATCGTATAATTCGACTGACTGCAATACGATCTAAGATCATTTTTTGACGATATTCGTAAAGATACTACCCACGTTTTTTCAGCTCTCCCATACATTTATAGAAATACATAGTATTTGTGATGCACATTCATACACACACGTGCTCTCTTAGGCAGTAAACCGGTTTTATAGTATGTCAACGTGTGTAATAATGTAAAACCATAACAGCCACATTGTTCATCAAAATTTACAGTCGTTGTTTGAAGAATAAAAAATGATTAAAAAACATCATAACTCTTATGAGGAATAAATGCGAGAATTTTATACACTGTTTTTAATTACTTTTTATCTTGTGTAATTTCGTGGGTGTGCAATTCGACAATACTCATTCGCATATATGATTACACAGATGTTGAATGNCTCACATACATGATTACATAGATGTTGAATGTAAAAATTAAATTAAATTAATAGAAATACAAAAATGTATTGTTCTAAAAAAAGGTTAACTTTAGCTTAACAACTTAAATGAAGAAAAAAAATAGTAAGTGAATTCATCAATCAGTATGATGCTAGGATATTTTTACACCGTAATTGTCTAAAATTTAAAATTATTAATTATGTGATAAGAAAAATCATTAATTTAACTACTTAATCTTCTTAAGTAACAAACGAAATATTATATTAAATATACATAAACACAATTAATTTCAGTAAATATAGTTTTATAATTATGATATTTTATAAAATTTAATTTAAAAGCTTACACAGTAGGAACATATTCTGTGGGAAACTGTTTGGTTGTGTAGGTGATGAGCATACATGTTTTACCAACCATACCATCACCAACTGCAGTTATCTTTAGTGGTCTCACTTTGTTCTTCCTCTCAGATAGTTTCCTATCGTGTTTGTGTTGGATTTCAGGACCCATGGTTACACCTGCAAGTAAAGAACATTTAAAACATTTGGCTACGGATGTAAAATAAGAACACCAGCATGTTGGTATTAATCAAAAGCATTAAGGGTATAGTATAAGGGCTGTTGCAATACTCCACTTCATACAGCTGGTCTAACCTTCCCGATAAATCATTTGACATCTCATCTTTACAACAGCTAGTTTCCGGTTCACATCCTATTGCACTCAAAACAATATGTACTAAAAGTCTAAATAAATCTATATAGGAGGAAATATAGGTATTTTTAGCCACTTCCTTTAAATATTGAGGCACGAGTGAGATTTGACAATACAATTTTGAAATCAATAACACAATAAATTAAAAGGAATAAAAAATATATTTTAGCTGTGCTTCAACATCTAAAGCACGTTTCTGATGATTTTCATATAGAATAAACAAGAACAAATACAGCTATAATTCCCATTACTTCCGTTACAAACAATATTTAAAATGATGCGAGAAAAAATATGTAAACACAACCTTTGTTTTAATATTCAAGTCTGGTTTGTAACTACCTACGTGATTAAGGGATAGGATGTACCCCATTTAATATGAGCACTTCATATAGGAGGTGTATATCATATGAAACAGTGAAGGGGAGATTCCGGAGATCAATATTAATCACACCACCGTGGCTCACAATACTTGCAAGTAGTATCAGCACATGTCATGAATATTGAATACGGATCACAGTATGCCCCGTGGTCATTAAGGTATGACAAACTATAGTACTGCACAAAATGTAATACCGGCTGTTTGAAATAAAAAAAATATTATCAAGAGCTTTGAAAGTATCAACATGTTTTGCTGGAAATTATAATATTTTTTATAATATTGTGAACTTTTCAAAAAGATTTTGTGAAAATGTAAATTTAATACACCTGATTGTTATCGATAAAATATGAAAGAAAATTGATGATGCTAAGCAACACAAATATCGAAGATTTTTTAAAATGTTCGTTTTTACAACTAATTTTAAATACAAAATTGAATATAAAAATGATATAAATAATATGAAAAAACTTTTAAAAACAATATTTCTATCAGTTTATACATTATTATAAAACTTATTTTATTTAAAGTTAAATTAAAAATATTTAACTGGGAAAATTATCAATATCTATGTGGAATTTCATACAAGGGTAACATTCAACTATAAAAAGTTTAACTACTCTTAAATGTATGGCCTATGGACGATGATTAAATAATGCAAAATCATTAAGAATCATTTAAACTGGGTGTGGTAGTCGGTCGGTTTTGTTTGAAATCATTTGCTAAGATCTCCAACGAAATTTCACTAGACCAATTTAAGGTAATTGGCCCCTATCAGCTAACCGACATCTTAACTAATGTTACGTTACATTCACAGACAAACTATAAAAGTTTTGTTGACAAAAACTTAATCAGAAATCTCATCGACAAAAAAAGTTTAACTTAAGGATATAATTTTTTGTTTTTGTTTAAGTAATATGTATGACACAAAAATTGTAATAAAACCGTATATTACTACGATTTATAAGTTTAAAAATTCAAGCCCGATAAAAATCATCGTTGAATATATTTTTGTTAAATTAGAGTAATTGAAAATTTCAACTGTCAAAATCATTTGAAAATTCATTAAGTGACTTCACATAAATACTATATAGCACGGTGTTAAAAAAATTTATACTTTCATATTACTCAAAATATAACAAACATTAAAAATTATATATTATATTTATAATGTACTATGTTTAAAAATAATCAATATTATACTACTTTGTTCATGTCTAACTAACTTTCAAACGTCAACAAATTAAAGATGATAGAGACTGTGATCATTAATAAATATACTTTTATGAATCGACCATTATTAGGACGTAAAAAATAGAAAAAAAAATTAGTGAGACATATGGGCTATATTTCGTATAAATTTCACAAATACAATCACACTGTATTTAAGAGAAAAAATATAAAAAGTCAAAGTTCTATTAAAGTATTCTCTGTAAAACAGAGCGCCAACCATAACCAAATTGAATGCGGTCCCACACATAATTTAAATCATTCACGTAAACTTTTAGAGACTAGAAAATCATTTTGTTAAGGCTAAAATTGTTTTAAAAGAATGGTTTTAAATATTCCACGTAAAAAATACTAAACGAGTATTCGTTACGCTTACTTTAACTCGACTCAAATTGTTGTAAATACATTTAAGTCGTCCGAAAAACTTGTAACAAAGGTTTTTCTCTGCTGCCTTGAAAACTTAATATCTATTATATTATCAAAGCATTAAGGGTATTACTATATTAGTAGCGTTTTCTTATAGGGACTCCCCTGGGCAATGTTTTTCATTGTGGCTAATATAAGTAATACGATATTACAGCATTTTCCCAGGTAACAAAAACATTACATAAAGTAAGAACAGAGAAAAAAATATTCGGTTTGAGAAAACAACACCCGTTCTTTTTTGGATAATGCATTCTCCACTCTCGTCCACTATTGATCTGTGGAAGTCTAACAGTTACTCATGAATATTTTATTTTCACTAAATCTACCTATATACGATGCATACACAATGACCGTTGATAAATTGAGTTCAAAACAATTTGTTCGGCATTGATAAATTCGGCAAGTACGGTTTAGAATGTTTTTATCAAATTGATTATAAATAAATTACAAGGTACGCTTTGGAATAATGCTTTATAAATACTTGACATACCAATATTCAGCATAACTCAATTGGATTTGTTAAATTTATATGAAAACCGTCAGACAAATGCTATCGGTTATATAATTTTGAGTATACAGAACAAAAAAACTCCGTTCATAACATTCCTCGTTCCCTATAATTATAATAATTTCTCCATTTTATACGAAACCAGCTCAAATTCTTCTTTAATAATCAAATCTTAACTAAACGAACGAAATACTTAACAATGTATTTTTACAGAGAGTATTCTTGCAGAAGGTGTCGTAAAACAATTAGTAAATTATTGTCCATAGGCTTTTATTTAAGATTAATGGACATTTTTAAGGGATTAACTCATTGCTAATGTACTCGGATAGTTTACAAAACTATTTGCATCCAAATTACTGGCGCTTTTATTTATTTACTTAATTTATAAAGGTTAACCAAGTAGAAAAATTACAGAACGTCCACTATACATAGCCATTTATTGTATAAATAGCATAAGTAACTTCAAAAAAATTAAATATACCACATTAAATCGACTTAATAAACCTCAAAAGATTATTAAACCTAATTAACAGGACATTGTTGTAAGAAATATTTATGGAATACTTACGAGTACATTTATTATTTTAAAATGAAATATGTTCACATAATAATCCAATAATACTAAGTTACTTACCAAAATTACTGTAAAATCATACGACAATTAATAATAAAATTATATAATGTTTAACTGAAAGGTATCTTATCAATATGATTATTTTATCTAATGTATTAACAGAAATATTATCACTTGAATTATTTAAATAGAACAAGAATAAAACAAGATATTTAAATATTATACTAGCACCGGATATTAATAAGATAAAATTTATCAATTATTGAACTATGAAATATTAACTTTTGTGTTATATTCTCCGNTTGAACTATGAAATATTAACTTTTTTGTTATATTCTCCGTACAACCATTCAAATCGTGAAATTTTCAATTTTTAAAAAACCAACTATTTTTTATCAAAAACTTAACTAAAACTAAACATAAAAATTTGTATTATGTTTACCATTGAGGTTATAAAATGTTACTTTAACTATAGTAACCTATTAAAAAGATTAAAATACGAGAATGCACTGACAAAAGACTGGTTGAGATGCAGCGGTTATTCAAAAAGATATTACTTATTAGAGAAAACAAAATGTAATTAAATCATTTTTATCGCTTTTCTAAAAAATATTAATACCTCCAAATATATAATAATTACGGATGAAATATTATTGTGGTACATATAAAATGTTTTTGAAATAAAGTAATAACACATCCCATACCTGGATATAATTATGAAATATAAGACCTAAGCATAATATAAGTTCCTATTTTATTAGAATTTTATATTAGTTTCTTTCATTAACAATGAAATTGGAGAACAATATATATTTTAAACCAGTTAAACTTCAGGAAATCTATTAATACCTACTAGCTAACGATTTCTTATCAAATTTCAATATTATATTATTAATAATTATTATATGGAAAGTCTTGTAAACAATATAATAATCGAATTACCATTAACTATAAGAATATGCAACGTCAACTAGTGATATCACAAGGTAATTATCAAAAACAAAATATCATATTTATAATTTCTAAAATATAATAGTATTTATATTTGTGTTAGTATACCTTAATGTTTTCTTAGATCGTATCACAAATGTTGACTAGCACAATTTTTGATGAAAAACACGTAATATAAAATTTAACAAATACAAACTATCATTTTAATAAAAAAATAAGTTTAACAACAAAGATTACAAATNGTTTTCTTAGATCGTATCACAAATGTTGACGAGCGCAATTTTTGAAGAAAAACACACAATATAAAATTTAACAAATATAAACTATCATTTTAATAAAAAAATAAGTTTAACAACAAAGATTACAAATCATAAACCAGAAATTATATGTAAAGTGAGTAAAATCTGAACGAAAATTGTACAAAAAACACCTGATTACTAAAAAGCAACTATGTCACACAACAACACTGACTCATGGGAATGCTTTAGATGAACTGTTAGTACTACTATACGTATTCTGTATCCGTATCGCCCTTGAGTAACATGTTGTAGTCATACATCTCGAGTGGTTACTAAACCAACCAGTTTATTGCGTTGCCAAGGCGGTAGATTTTTAAACATATTGGTAACCAATAAGTCACGTGGAGGGGAGACAACAAATTACTTTTGTCTCCGTAAATCAGTAATTAACTCTCGAACTTTTATAAACACTTGATTGGGTTTCTTGAACACTATCTCCTAAAGACAACATAATATGTTAAAAATATAATATATTTTTTTAATACAATAACTTCTTTAGACGGCAAAGTATTTAAATATCATTTACCTTTATCGACTCTTGAGAACTGCATACCTCAGGATCAGAAATATAATCCAAGTATTTCAATAACTTGACGTAGGACACTTTTTTTGTATCGGAATCAGTAAATCTATAAGCAATTTAAACAGCAATTACTAATTCTAACACTTAATAAACACCTATAAACAAAAGTTCATGAACACAATTAATCTATGTCAGTATTACAATAATATTAATTATAACATTTTATAAAACTATATGACCTTACTTGTTTCTTATTTTTATTAACATATATTTTATTATTTTTATGCTGCTGTTATGGGCGCAAATAGCGGGGTTGCTTCAGCATCTTCAGTCTTAAATCATTACCTCAGTCAAAAAACTGTATCCCCAGACCTTCTTCACTAAAGTAATTTGAAAATCATTTTATGGAGTATTTTTTGTCAGTAATCGACAATATTATATAAATTGAATAATGAACTTTTTTCTATACAATTTAAATTGTTTTGTGGTTTTTTTGATAATCAAAAATATAATAATAAGGTATACGGAAAAATTATTTTAAAATAATGTTTTATTAGTAAAAATAGTTTTTTGTTTGTTCAATGACCCTGGTAAGTATTAAAAGAATGTTTTTGGGCGATATGGGGGGTGAAGCCCTTCAGGGGTTTGTGAGCATAACATAATTTCAGCATTTTTGCTTTAGTTGCACCCATAGTTTTTAGTAAATTTAATCAGAGGATGCAACTAAAAAATATTCTAACATACTATCATATTATTTTTCCTTAAAAAATAGTGATCCGTGACTCATAAACATAAAATGTAATGTGTCATATACGTCTAACAGTGGGTACCATTATTTTTTTCCGATTTCCTTATTATTCTGTACTTTCTTTACAGTTATACAGATATATGAGCTATTTTTTTCATAAAAATACGTTATTTATTTGGAATATATTTTAAAGAATTGCAATTCAAATAAATCCGAAAAGACAAATTTACAAACAATTATTCTCAAAAATTCAATAGAGCTATAGAAATCGGTAATAACCGTATGAATAAAAGAAAAATTAAAAATAATTTTGAGTTTATTAATATATTCTTTGTAGCAACAACAGGAAAACGATCCCTTTTGTTTTTTGACACGCACACATCTGGTGCTATGTATTGCATTGAAGTCACCGACACCATACAAGAAGTGTAATTTAAAAATATTACAGACAGACAGATTCAAATAACCTCAAAACATTATAAATCAATATCAAATTTACTGCGTCCAACAATATTGCGTTTTAAAATTTAATAAATTTTACATATGTTAATAATGTCTATAATTAATAATTTATTTTAATTTGTCGATTTTACACTAAATATATATTTGTTTTTTAATTTCTATTAACAAGCTAATTTTTAATAATAATAATTCGATTTTTTCGACCATTCCCAAATAGTTGAGATAAAGAAAAAGATGAATTCGATATTTAAAATTATTTTGCCAAGTTTTTGGGGTAGTCAAAATTGATTTCTATATTTTTAAAGAGTTCCTTCTAGAGTCATTTAATTTATTGATATAATATTAAAAATGTTTATACAATTAAAATAAAGTTAACCTTACTTTCTCTCTCTCTCTCTTAAAAAAACTTTTGTGGACTTATTTAAAATCTGTAATAATATTATATTCGTTTAACTATTTTTAAGAGCAATTATAATAACAAATTTATTAAATATTTCAAAATTATTCAAGAAGAAAAATTGTTTAGTTATCTTATCATTATACGCTTAAAATTTACTCACTTTTTCAGTAACATTTCAATAATTTCATCTGAGAGAGGAATCTTTGAACTTTTTAAAGCTTTCATTGTGTTGTCTCGATCAAGATATCCATCGCTTTTATTATAATAATTTCTTTTTTTAAAGTTTATAGCTAACCCGTCAAAAGATTCAAACAAATGTCTTTTTAACTCGTCATGAACAATGCTTCTTAACTTATCGTTATATAATTGACACTTGTCATCAAGTTTTTTGTACTGTAAAGCTATTACTAAAATAGAATGTTGACTTAATCTACATAATCTCTTGGTCATAATATCAACAAATTTTGTCCGCTCAATCAGATCTCTGCTTTCAAAATCTTCTGTGTATATTCTGTCAATGTCTGGCTCGATAATTTCGGAAACTTGATTCATAAGACATTTTACATCGCAGTGCGGAAACTTTTGGTATATAAATAAAAGACAATTATAAATTATATTGTCCTATATAATTTTGAGATTAATATGTTTAACGTGCTATATCAAAACGATTGTGATTTGTGGGTTTTTTTTCGTGGGAATTAAACTCCGATAGCACATATGCTTAAGTGGAAATTAAAGATATTTGTAGGGTAGTGCGATGTAGTATTCAGTAGACGGCAGGTTCCGGAAAGAACATCCATTAAAGACACATTTTATTCTGCACGTGGTACACAAACCGGAAAACCCCCAAAAAGTATGTCATGCACACGCATAGGGTTGTTCAGTTCTTTTATTTCATTACTTATAGTTCATTTATTTCGTCGTTTATAAGTAAAAGTGGTAATAGCCAATTTCAATTATTATAACTATTCTTTGCTATTAACGCACGGTAATTACAATATAAAATTTACTCGCGAATACATATGGAAAAATAATTATAAAGAGAATAAAGAATGTAAACATAACCATAGACATTAATGAAAGGTCTAAGGATTATGTGAGTTTAACATATCATTAAGCCGCCGAGTTATTTTGTCATTTTATAATAAGATTACTAGTCAATAATTATTCTTTTAAATAACCTGCGGAATTTATGCTTATAATTTAATTTCATGTTAATAGTTTTTTCTATGAATCACATATCCTCAATTTCGCTGATATCGAACCTATTAAATAATAACGAACTCTTTTATTATTTAAAATTGTACTCGTCTAATTTTGTTTGAATTTGGACCCAAAAAGTAAAATTAAGTCCCAGTGGTAGATCAAGTACAACAAAATTAATTTTAACTAACACATTAATTAACTACCTGTATTGGATGATTCATCATGAACTTCAATGTTCTATCATCCACATCAGCGAGAAGAAATTTATAACTATCTATTGTAACTTCATTACCGGCGTATAGATTTAAAATGGTTGGAATTTTATTATCACCTACATTTTGTAATTTTCGTTTTGAAATAAATTTTTTACCTACACAAAATTAATGTCATGTTAATGGAAAATTGAATTTTTAATCAAACATAAAATAGAAGAATTCAAAATTCTTAAAACAATTATATAATCACCTGCTTTATTTCCTTTCATTTCAAAAACAGAAAAACTTTGATCTCTTAGGTGATATTTTATAATAAAATCATTAGTTCCATCATTTGGTGGTTGAAATAAAGCTTTAGCTTTAAATATTAAGTAATCTATGTCTACATCAGATTGAAATGTACTTAATATAATGTTATCATTGCAGATAGACTCATTGTTGACTTCTACATTTGACGTTTCTTTTTTTGCTTCGGACGAGTCAATAGACAANTTCTACATTTGACGTTTCATTTTTTGCTTCGGACGAGTCAATAGACAAAAAATTATCTGAAATACGACACGTATAATCAAAACTTTAATGAAATTTTAATAATACCAACAATTTATTATACTCAATTGTTAATGATTTCAAGACAAGGGAAAATGATTATGTTATTTATTGATAATTTATGCACAAAAATAGCATTTTATAAAGTTTAACATTTGTTACATTTCTATTACATTACACAAAAACTGTATACATTTTTTTTGTTAATATTTTTCTATAATAATATATTGAACTTCAAATTAAAATGCTAACAATACAAAAAAGTACAGATATCTGTAATTTATGTTGTATAAAATTGGTGCAACTAAAAGAAATGATAGAGGAATAAAATTTTCATCATTGAGTGTAAAACTCAGTGATGAAAATTGTTTTTTTTCCTGGTAAAATAGAAACAGTTTAGAAATTTATTATGACCAATAAAAGTTGTTGGTGCCATCATCGATTGCATGTCGAACCAATTTATCAGTGTATACGCGTAAAAGAGAATAGTAAAAGTTCAAAGTGAATCTCTTGCACTGCCCAATAATTAGAACTAGTATCTTGTTGTATTTGACCTTTTATTTAATTACAATTTTCACTAAAATTGTTCATACTTAAATCGTTATCAAGGTAAAATTGTTTCGTAAACTCGTCACAATAGTTTAAAACAATGTTGCGGCCGTAAACATTAATTTCCTTTGCAATGTATAAATCATACCACTTGTAATACGCATTGTTGGGATGTTTCGAATTCGATAGCGGGTCAAACGAGTACCATCGATTTAGTGGGTTTACGCCCAAGACGTTGAGCAAATTGTACGGTTCACAAAACCCAGGTGGTTTAATATAATTGTAATCCTAGAAAATACAAATGTATTTGTTCAGTATTCAAATATCAAACTATTAGTATTGAAGTGCATCAGTAAATGGAAAATAAATCATTGAGTACTTTAGGTATTTTTTGTCTTTTTAAAAATGTCTTGAGTTTTCTATTTTCTTCGTGTTCAACGATTTTCATTGTATCGTCAATTAAATAGTATTGAATATCAAAATTATGTAGAACTCCGTCGGCACTTTGACGGTCGTCCCAAAATCCTTTAAAGTTTAATATACCATCAATGTTTGTTTTACGCCTATGCACAACTCCATCTGTATGACTTCCCAATTCGTTTTGATCCTAAAATAATTAACTATTTTAAAGGTATTGCTGAAACTGCTATTTATTAATATAACATGCCTTTTTTTTTGTTTGATTCAAGACAATGCTAACCAAGTTCAACATTCTAATTACTAAAAAGAATTCAAAAATGAAACTTTCTATTCAATTTTTGTTTTTTTGCAAAAGAATATTTTTATTCATAAATAATTTTTAAAGCACATTCAAGGCACAAAATGATTTTTGATTTACAAAATGAAAGTTTAATCCACTAAAAATTATATTTTCTAATTTTCAACAATTTAAAATGTAATATAAAGAAAATTTAGCGACTTTTTATTTTAAGTATTTTTGATTTATATATATAGTAATTTCAACAGATAACTTTTAACTAACGTTAATATGATAATGATAATATCCAATGAATTTACCGCATTTTGTTTTGACATAAGCGAATCATCATCGGGCATCGGTAAGTTGTCTGGCACATCAACCCCAACATTTCTTAAAAAGTCTCTAGTAAAACTATCAGCAGCTGTTATGATGAATTTTTTACCATAAAACTCCACAGTAGATCCCACGTTGAGATCAAACAAATGGTAATACTGTCCATCAGAATTTGGTAGTGGAATTGCATGCCTCTTTATTAAACATCCTATAAATTCAAATTATGATAAATAAACAAATGTATGGCATACGTATTTCCCTTATAATATGAACATCAATATTACACGGCCTTTGAAAATTCTCACAGAGAATTGTATATTTGTTGTAAGAACTCCCATGCCACCAAATACTGCAATTAAAATATGTATACTTAGACTTTGTTTGATGAAATAAAATAAAATATCATTTATAATTAAAAATGCTATATGAACATAAGAAAACTCTGGGTTAGGAGTTTGGTATAGGCACCTTAATCTACAGTATTTATTTGACGTTCACGATTATCTGTGTTAGGTGATTATTTCGAAAATATAGAAAAATAGTACCAGGAATTTATGAGATACTGTTATAGTCGCAATAAGTATGTCTGAAAAGATATTTATCAAAATTTTCTCATAAAAATTGAAAAGAGTACCAGGGATTCAGAAAATGTTTGTCACGCAAGCCATCGATAGAACAACATAATGCTGTTCTCTATATGGAAAGCGACAGAACGCGATAGTCGATAATTACGCTGGACGGCAATTTCTCAAGTGTGCTTCATTTAAGTTAATGACATTGAATTGATAACCATGTCGTTAAGTTACTGTCAAGACCATATACTTCATTTAGGTCTCTTGTCTCAGAGGTATTTAATTTGTGTATTTCAATCTGCGCGGCAAGTATTTTACCAGAAAGAGGGATGATAGCTGTTTTTCACTAAGCACTCC